AATACGAGCGATGAGGGAGCATTTGGTGAGTAATAAGGGAGTAAATTCGAAAAACTCACGGTGTGCTCACTTTTTACTCCCCAAACGCTCGGAATTTTCTGAGAGTGTAAATATGAAATCGGTTTCCCCCCATTAGGAGGAATCACACTCTGGCGTACCTGGCGGATTTTACCCCTTGAAACTGTAAGTGGAGCTTCTGAGTTTTAACAAGAAAATTCCCTTACCTATGGGATTATCTTCAGAACAGTAAACTCCAATTCCCTCACTTCCCGGACTCACCAGTTTCTTGCTTTTCGTGTAAATGTTGCTATTCACTAATAAGTGGAATTATCTTTTTCCACCATGTCATTGTAAATGTCATTTTACGGTCACAAGCCGGACGCTGTGTTTCCAACCTCTTTGGTTGGAAATTTCCGGTAATTTTTTTACAGTGCAGGAGAAAAAACGGCATATCTTATTGATTTGAAAAGTTTCCTCCTCGGAACTCTAATTGTTTATTGCGTGAAAAAATCAAGCGGAATGCCCACGATCGGTAACGTTTGTGCTCATTTCATGAAATACCCAATCATGTCACTTCTTGCGCGCATACGGTAATACTTTCGCAATGCGCGCAATGAGCAATTGCACGAATCACGCTTAATATATGCATCAGGAGGGACAACTACAGTAGTGTGAATGAACAGAATCTCATTCGCCGATATTTCTTTGCGACAGAAATCATTTTGATAAAATTTAATGGAAAGTAAGAATGGAAGCAACTATATATTCTTCAGCCGTTTGCTTCTCATGCAAACGGAAAATACTCGGAATGGTCCATCATTGAACACACTTCAGCGTTTTAGGATGAAGGAAAAGCCCATCCATGCAGTTGCATTTCTGGATTGCGTGGTGACATTTTAGGTTTTCGTCTCTGTTGCAGTCATCGTCCTTCTTGCAGTCCGCACCCCGTCCACCAGGCATTTTTTCTGCAAAAATGTACATGCATTTCGTTCCCGTTGATTCTAGAGAATCGGATTTCTTCAGACATACCACATCGAAAAGTGTCGAGATCCAGCTCATAATCAGGTGCACATTTGCAAATGTTGACAACCTTATCGCACTGTTGGTGAAGATTTCCATTGCAGTCAACCTCTTCAGAACAATGATCTCCCAGTCTTTTTCCACAAATCACTAAAAGCAAATAATAGTTTTTTATTATTAAAACAAAACCAATCGGCTCGTGAAGGTTGTCTGTCAGTGACTTCTCTATAACGATTATAAATATATTTTGGGGTCACATTCCCTTTTTCATCATTGGATAGAAGTCTCGGAAACCTTACCGCACGTCAGGGTCCACGGATCAAAGATGTACCCATAGTCGCAGTCACACTTGAATAGGGTAGGATTGCAGACAATATGTTCATTAGTGCGGCAGTCTTCGTCTCCGTCGCAAGGATCTCCAATGCCTCCCTCACCAGGCACTGCCACCGTCGTTGTCGTCGCCGCCGTGGTAGTTGTTGTGACTCGGGCTGTGTAAGTGTGGTGGAAAGGAGAAGGGATAAATTTAATGAAATGGAATATTGTAGCTTCAGCGAAATGTAAATTGGTTTCGCTCTTAAAAAAATTATTACTGCTTGTTAAATAAAGAGAACCGTCAACAAACAAAAACGTTGAAAGGATGTTTCGAGGGTTTCCCGAAGAGTAACTATTTTCCAATCAATACCCATGCAATTAGCTTTTCTAACACAGAAAGGCCTATAGGGTCCCCTATAGGCCTATAGGGTTCCGTTTGAAGTTCTCCTCTAGGCCACTAGATGGAAGTATTGGGTTCTCACATTTCTCAAAGGGCACAAAAGTGCCCTCC